CCAGCAGGTTTGGTGCCGTCAAGGTTGTGGAGTAGTTGATGCACCTCTTCAACAGCGCAAAATAGATTGTCGAGTTCTGTCATCATCATCATCATACACGTTAGCTAGAGGTGGGGAACACCTCAGCTACTGTGCCGCAATACAAAAAAATGAGAGAGAAAAAGAAAACAACTGGTGAAAGCTGGCTGAGCTACCGGTAACGGATGGGCATCGTTCCGGTAAGCTGCCAGCCGGCTGCTGTGCACCCAAAAAAATTATTATGCAAAATTATATAAGGCTAAGTAATGAGATCGTGGTTGTCGATGTACAATGAATTTCTCTTCAAACAAATTTCGAGTTCTGTAATCGCGATACACGTCGAACTCGATACAGATACCTGGCCATTTGCAAACACGGAAGCGAAGTGCGTCGCCAATGCGGACGCACGCTTAGCGCAAGAGGTTGGGGGCCGTCCGTCCGAGCTCTTTGGCACTGATAGATCACTTGCTGACTTGAGACGCCACTTCACGTAAGCAAAGATTCTTTTCGGAGCTGTCTTTGTGTTGGGTGCGAGCTGCTGTTCGAAATGCCGGCGCTTGCTTGGTTCTGCACTATCGCAAGTATTTCGTTGTCTCACACGTCTCTTAATGGTTGGAAGAGCTGGAGGTGAGAAATTTGTCCCACAATTTGCACCGAAACCAAGCCATTTTACCATAGTCCTTGTCGAATCAATGCGGCCTGACTGGTCCAACTTTCCGACACTTCAACACTACAAACTGAGAACACAGTAACGCCAGTCTTTCTCTAACAGCAGTCCAACAGTCTTCCACAGATGCAGTTTGCGGCAGATACCAATCTACTTGGCTCGCGGCTTGTTAGACCGTCGAAGTTGGTTTTCCAGTCGTTGTAAGCTGGCTTCAGCGGACGGGAATACGGTAAAAATAGATTCATACTGGCTATGAACACTGAGTGATCGCTTTCTGTTAGGGGCTCTAGGGTCTGAATGTCATACACATGCTATTTATAGCTTGTTAACACCAAGTCCAGGCAAGAAGGAGTTGAGCGCGTTATTCGGGTCGGCTGATATATGTTTTGTGCTGCTCCATTTTCAAGTACTAAGTCTACGGACGTTGTTTCGACCTCGCAATGTCTTGGAATAAGTTCAACCTCAGGCCAGCGTATCAGAGGACAATTAAAATCACCCATGAGCAGAAAATGGAGACGACTCATATGGCTTCAGAGATGCGGCAGCCAATCCAAACAACGGCTCAGTGGGCTGCGATAAAATGCACCCACGAGCAGCTCCCCGCGTCTGAGGTGTATCAAACACCACAACCGTTCACACAGATCATCATCGCCTCTGTAGACACTCATAACTCTCCCACAGTGAGGATCAGATGTAGAGCAAGACGCCACCGCGGGTAGTCGGTAGTCTATCGTAGCGGAAGCAGGAATATCCACTGAGTTCGATTTCCTGGGCTATCACCACAGAATTCAGCCACGTCTCTGCGAATCCTATTATGTCTGGCCGCTCAGATGCAACGAAACGACAGAGTTCATCGCGCTTGTTCATAAGACTACGAATGTTGGCAAAGGTTACACGCAGGCCGTAGCAGAAATCACCAGGGGTGACTGAAGTGTGAGCAACCTGTTTATCCTGCTTTGTGGAATCTTGGGAACGACAAGAAAATTTGCGATACGGAGATTCGTTTCCCCATCACCATTTTGTCTCTTCAGTTCAATGATGGCAGAGTTGAGTCGTTCTTGATCCACCGGATCTGTCTGGACGAACATGGAACTTTAGACATTTCAACCTACTTAATCTGGGAAAAATAAGCCTCAGGCTGACTTCGTCCACAAAGGCGGTTCTCATTGATCAACCATGTTGATTCTGTTTCCAAGACGGGTAATTTGTATCACTTTCAACCCGTTCTCCCTCACGTCCAGGAGCCTGTCAATTAGGCTCTGTAAAAAGTCGACGTCATAATCGCATGGTAATTGGGGAGTTGGGTCATTGGACTCAGACGCGTGTAAGATCACGAGGTTAAAACGCCTCTGGTCGGCCAAAGTTGACCTTACAGGACGAGGATTTTCTCGCACTTCACGTGGTCTGATCTGTGGTTGATTTGCAGCGGTTGAACTCTTTTCATTTTTCTGTTTTTTTTCCGTGTACTTTGCAGGTGTCTTCATTACACAGACCTCCCCACATACTGGGATAGCTATGTCTGTAGAATGCAACACGTGAAATGTTCGCGTCAGGTGGAGCTGGGCTGCTGGTAACTGCGGGACTTCGTGCCGGTGAGTTTGCACGGGACGAGCAGGAAAGCTTATCTGAAACCTGGAGGCGCTTCGGGCTAACTTGTTGGGCCAAACACACGGAGCTGCTCTCAACGGAATGATTCACCCTACAAATCGGTTTGCGATTCTGCTCTGCCTTCGGCTGTATCTCGTTTCGGCAATTCCTACACAAAACTTGAATGAAATCATTTTGGATTTCACGAAAACGCCGAAAATGGTCAATCGATATTCAAATGCGTGAAACATGGAAAGTAACGTGACCAATAACACATGTGAGTGCATTTGCGCGACTTCCGACAACCTTGGAACGTGAACCGCAAAGTGATTGTGTGGGTATTATTAAAAATCAAAGACGGCGGCCAAGTGTGGAGCACAAAGCAATAGTAAGATCTCCGAAGTTAAACACAGATAACACAAGTATTTATGGAGGAAAATCCAGAATCAGAAATGAAAGTGAATGCGGTTGTAATTTCCGCTAAATAATTTCAATGTACGGAGAAATCTAATAAGAAATAATCTTGTTAACACAGCCAGGAAAAAACAACCGGAGGTCGCTAACCGCAGTCGCACACAGCGTCAGGATGATATTCCTGCGGTTAGCAAAAGCATTGCGATAGTTCTCCTTGAATAGCGTTAATAAGATCGTTCTGTTTCAGACCGACAATTTTTAATCGATCATTCTGTGGTAATCATCCATTCCTGACTAACCAGAGGGTAGCGCTACAACGTAGTTGGCAGCTGGGCCCGGAATACCCTGCTCCGTTCACTGAAGGGAGATAACGAACGAGCCGCCCTTCACAGATATCTACCATGATAGGACGGACGTGCGAATGGATACATGCCGGCTATGTAGGCACCCACTAGACAGAGAAAAGTACAAAACCATTTGAAAGGATAGCAGGATATAAAGTGTCTTGGGATGTATAGCTGTGGCCTGGATCAACCGTTAATGATGTGTTAATTGGCTGGGATAAGGCGTAAAGGAACACAACTCAGCTCGATGGGTCACTCAGAAGCAATCAGAAGCTGCATCAGGTAATCCCTTCTAAGGTGGAAGCCTATTACAAAAACAAGAAAAATAAACCTAACTGGAATACGACTAGAACAATCGTAAAGGAATCAAGCTAAATGTCAGTGAAAACATTTTTGGTATCACTCGCCGCTAAAATAATCCAGCACAGGTTAAGTTCACAGAGACACGAGGAACAGGGAATCGAGGCTGAGATATCGTGGCTTTCTGGCAGACGTTTCAACGCCATGCCGCTATAGCAAAAGTTGGTAAAGTAGTGAGAACACTGCCGAACAACCTTCTCATGGTACCAGCTGGGTGATTCGGGATTATCCCGTTCCAGAAAATCGTTCGGCGGCAGTGTTCCAGGACGTGGTGAGTTTTCGCCTGGCAAGCAATCTCCCTATAAAAAGTCACATATGCCCATTTAACAACACTGTGACGTGGCGGATGTGACTCGTCACGAAATAAAGCCACTGCCCCTTGCTTCATACTGGTGAAACGTTGTATTCCAGCAACTTAGTGCTGAAGTTGTGGGGAGCATTGGGCCCCTATTTGGCAAACGAACCAACGAAAGGCGTATGAACTGGACACTCAGTCACTGGCTCCCAATGGGCGAGATTCCCTGAATTCGCTCCGCTGTCTTGCGTGTAAGGCCATTCGGCCAAAGGCTCCGGGTGGTGTCCCCTAAACCAACACCCTACTTCGGCTTGGGCAATCGGGTAGTACCTCGACCTCTGACGAAACCATGGACTCATCCGTGTTGTGTTGTTTTTTAACGATATCTGTACCTTCCTTTGAGTTCCATCATTTTTGATAGCTCCATGCCTATTTGTAGGCTGTTGTAAATTTATATAACAGAACATTGCCCTCAGATCTGTAGTATTCGCTGTGCGGTAGGATTGTGACGCGAAGCCTCAATTTGGGTCATGGGTGACTTCGAAATAACTCCCAGTCATTCTGATCAATTGGGATTGCGGGAATCCCACAAATATCAGCGTGGATTAGAGCGCTATGAAGCCGTTAGCACGGCCGTTTGAGCCCCCGATCGGAAACTGGTTGATATTCGTGGAACCTGCGTTGATTTGCTCTGGCATCATGTCCACAAATGCTGTCCCTAAAAGGACAAGCGTATATCTAACAAAAAACGACAGCTTTGTCTTGGTGAGGTAAGGCAGGCTAACCAACACACTTAACCACCGATTCCAGGTATTGACCTATTACTAGCAACCGTATGAAATTTTCACTCATTGTATGTAAGCGGCTGAAGAAAATACACGAAAGATACAGAATTCAGAGTATTCCGCAGAAATGTTCGTTGTTCTTGCTCTGTTAAAATGACAGCCTTGATATGCATAGTAAGACACATTATTTCACCCGTGAGGTAATTCCTTTGGTTCAAAAATAAATCAACCGTAACGTATCCAAGTGTCAACCAATCAGCGGAACCGCGTAGACTGTCGGATAGATCTTGTGCGTCCACACACGGACTGCTGGATTCGAGCTCTCATGGCTGTTTGCTTAGGCCCTCAAATTCGTCTGATTACTCCGACTGCATACTTTCATTAACCGAGGATATACTCATGTTGGATCATGCCCCAACAGATGGCAGAAAGAAAAAAACTTAAGGGAACGAACCTGAACGACTCGTGCTCAAGGTAAGAGATCAAGGGAAATATGGTTAGTGGGTAGACAAAAAGTAAAAAAAACTCACGTTATGTGAACCAGTGAATCCAATGACACTTAAGCACTTTTCCGAAGACAACTTAACAGCTGCAGTGTCTGCATTGGAAAACGGCACCACAGTATCGCCGTACCGGTAACCTGAAGCGCAAAACGATGAAGAAAGTCAGCAGCGAGGTAATAATGAGTGAAGCACATGCAAATAAAGAATAACGGTGGGAAATATACCCAGTCCATCTCAGTTCAGATTATCTACTAGCATCCGTGTCACGACATGTACTGGATCCAGTTAAAATGAATCAAGTCACCGAGATAACAATAATGATAATAGCGCGAAAGGAATGAGCAGGAAACAGAATCAGCGGTTGTTATCATAAACTAGAAGAAGAGAACCAGTCTAAGAGTGTTGATGACCATAATTTCCGACATCGAGGCCTCTATACACAAAAGCGAGGTTCCGCTTTAGTAGACACGGTATTGGTAAACAATACGAGCTCGGGTAGACGCGAGACAGGCACATGAGGTGTCTAACCGATCTATTAAAGGTAATTCAGTTCTAACAGGTGCACCAACGGAGCAACAGGGGGCCTCGTTCCGAACACCGTATGAACTGTAGTCAACTTCATTAAAATCACAAAGTACGTAAACACATGATTCCAACATTGGTTTTATGTCAACAATTACAGTAGCGCAAGCGCAGCTGCATTGGCTTCAGAGTCCAAGAGGTCACAGCGAAAAAATATAGTGCTTATGGCTGGGTTCCCAATGGGAAAAAGCGCTACTACTTAAGACGTAGTCGGCTACCGACCGAAAGCATGACGCGCTTGCGTTGTAATCCTGAGCTCGCCGATTCGGATCCGTATAGATATGGATGATTTCGCGGTGTACTCAGCCCTTCCGCGACTGGTGATGCTCGCGTGCCATCGAAGTGTTGGTAAGGTGGCCCGGCGCATTGCTCACCCATATTTTCTCTCATGATGCACACACCGAACCGCAGGTCTGCCGGGCAACGTTCAAGATGAAATACACACGCCGTGTTGGCAGCAGCGAGTGTAAGGATTAGTAAATAAGGTCGTCCAAATAAGCATGGTCAACAAGATACACTTTTTAGGTTATAAGCTCAGTGCAGTACTTAGTGCGATATTCTCGATAATCTTATTACCTTAGAATTTCGTTCTTGTGTTCCTGCAGGCGTGCCAACATTATACTGAGGTCGGAAATTTCAGCCGCATGGAATTTGCTCGCAAGTTTTGATTCCCGGGAAATATCCGGAACACGCATAGGTGGAACAGGTGCAAAAGAAGCTAGGGTTGAAATGTAGCAACGGGAGAAAGATTTGGAGGTACGTAAAGGAAAGCGGATGCAAAGTGGAGTGCATGATGCGGGGCCGTCCCGATTCCCGCTTCCAGACGGTACAAATCTCATAGTTCGATGCCCATAAGAAGATAACTTTGAAGGTCTGCAGAAAGCAAAAACCCCAACGATCTTGAAATGGAGTGTGATGATCAAATGGGGGACTTTTCCAGTGGTCGTCGATCGGAGGAGAGTGGCTAAGAGTGCCAAGTCGACGGAAGCGATGTGTTCATTTGGTGTTAGCAGCGGGCTAACTTGCATGGTAGAGGAAAATTGGGTCGGAACCCAAAGTGACGAAGAGGAAGGGTTCGGGCCTACGCGTTGCGGGAGCAGATGTTTACTCACAGGCAAATAACGGTAGACCTTACAAGTAAAGTGAGTTTTCCTCTAACGCTAGTAAACCTCATCACGGCGAAAAAATTAAGCTGCAAGGGGAAGTGAGTTTGAGAAGTGGCAACTGGTTATGGCAATCGTGGTAGGCCAGTTTGGAATCCACCACCTTAATCTGTCAGTGTGGTATGTCTGCTCACTCATGTGCGGTGATGTCGAATTACGTGGTTAGACCCCATGCAGTGTGGATAATCCGCGCAAACGCTCCAAAAGGCAGTATGTCGAAAACACATAGCACTACATATAATAAAATCAATAAAGAGTACTCGAAGCCACCTACCGTCGAAAGTGGATGTATAGAACACTTATCACATCTGATGGAACTTGCTCATCACACTATTTGAATAAAGAAGTGGAAGGTGTAGAGCTAGAGGACGGGATTGTCCAACAGTTCAAGACCACCGAAGTTGACCTTAAGTCGTAGCCCCGTAAACAACAAGCATATGAGCGAACAAGTCAGTAAAACTGTCGAAACATGATGTTGCGCTGTGGCGATGCGCCGGAGGAGGACAGGTGCAGTAGCGTGTGTAACTCGGCTGCAGAACACAGTGTCACCTAATAGTGAAAACGGATAATATGGAGCAAAAGCAATGACAGAGAGAGAGCTCCACCGAAAGGTAACGGTGATTACACGGAACAAAGTGGAGATTTGACACCGAACCCAGGCACAAATCAAAGACAAAGCCTCCCAAACTGGATGGTAAATATAACAGGAAAATGCAGGAACATAGAACATCGCCTTAAATGGTGAAAGTTGATGGAGGAATATTTGAATATTAGTAACGCCTGTACAGTGCTGAAACATCTGCTCGGTTCAGTTGATTAACTATATTCGGAGAATGAAAACGAGGTAAATCGAATGCAACGGGTTGCGCCGTAATGATGGTTTGATTAACGAAAGTGAAACCAGGAGAAAATGAAATAGCAGGAAGCGCATCATAAATATTTTGAAAACGGGTAGAAAGTGTTAAACGGAAAAGCCAATGAAATGGAACAGAATGCAAAAGCACGGCTGGCATACCGGGTGTGCGACTCGGCGTCGAAGCCCCGCTAATGGAGAGAGGCAAGGTTTAGCGATAGGATGCATAAGTATGTTTTGACGTCGTCCGCTCCCGGTTGCAGCCAGGAGGTCGGTAAAGACGAATTCCACTGACGATTCTCATCTCGCGTGCGCATTTGAAAAAAAACGATGTCAGAGAGTTGCCAGTGTCATCGTTGATTCATCAGGCCGCGTATATAACCCGAACACAACTAAGTGGACGTTATCGGAGACAACCCCCGTTGGATTGAGAATATCGTACAATTTCTCTAACTATGTAACGAGTAAAACTTAAACTAGTAAATGGACGTACGTCACCGCATAGCATCCACCAAATAACATAACTTAGAGTCCAGTCGGCCATCACGCAACCGCAATATAAGGCGCATGATTTTGCGAGACTGCGGTTGGCTACGGAGCAGCATAACGCTCACTCTCATGAGTCTACTGGAGAGACATCAGGAGAGAGTCATTCATCCGCAAAACAAAGCCGATGACTCAATTTTTCAATTTTCAAATTGAACAAAACATGGGAGACCGTGCCGTGTACATTTACACTACCGATAGGCTTCTTCATGTTAGTACCGGTGCAGCTCTCTAACGTTTCTAATGCGTATACTGGTGTTCACAGAATGTGGGGCTGATTCGAATCACATTGCATCACCGACAGAGAGTGTAGGTAGGTGGAAGTTTTCTGTAAGACTGGGTCGTTTATCTGGATACAGATTATGCCTTAAAGTGCTTCCATTTGGCGTTCACCTTCGCGGCCAAGACAAGGCATCCAGTTTCGCAGTCCGACTAAGAAAATACAGTACACGCGCCATTTGTGTAGGCTGTGAGCAACGTCGTATGCCGCTTCCAACCAGTCAAATGATCAAATGGCACATTCTTCACTGTCAGCATCCAAGAACAGGTGAGTAAAACAGAGCCCAACTTGGAAAGTAGTGATAGTCGTTGGGGTCTGTCACATGTGCAGCAAATGCTGTATTTTTCTCTGGCACCGATGCGCCAATCGTCGCATTGTTTTCATCAAACCAATCACGCCGCTTATAGTTTGCGAGCCCGATGGTCTCCTCGGCAACAGCTGTCATCTGATCACGAATGTGGTGCCACAGGTCGCCCACTGTGGCTATGCACTCCACATCATACAGGAGTGCAGCCATCGACTTCCCCATCTGAATACGTTTCGCCACAGTACCGAGGGAGAGAATGTTACCTCTACGCCGATTCACAGTGGGAGTGCAATACATGGATTAACGAAAATATATATACAGTTTAATCCGCACAAATTTATGATCAGTGTCACACTCAGCTGCACGCATTACAAGTGTCATGCGCACTTCACGCATGCTACGCTGACATACAATGACATAGTCGAGCAGGTGAGCATGATCACTCCGTCGGTGCGTCCAAGTTGCCATATTACTTGCACTCAGTGCAAACCATGTTCGTGATCGTCAGGCCATGAGTGGCACACAGTGAGAGCAACCTGCCACCGTTCGCATTCGCTGAGCCAATGCCATGCGGAGCGATGACATCTGTCCACACCGATGCATCAGGCCCAACGCGCACGCTGAAAGCACCCAGCAGAAATAGTCGGTCGCCCCTGGGCACAGACCGTATCACAAAGGATAACTGAGTGTAGAATTGATCAGGTTTCTTTATCCCACCACATACCTCTTAGCCTCCCCCTCCAACAACGACCTCACTATTTAGCCTTTTATAATTTTGAATAGTAAATTATTTTTCTCTGCATAGTAGCCGGAACGATGCGCATAAGCTACCGGTAGCTCGGCTGGCCTGCACCTTGCGTTTTATTCCCTTTCTTTTAGGTATTGCGGCACAGTAGCTGAGGTGTTTCCTACCTCTAGCTAACATGTATAATGTATGCATATATGCGTAGAATTAATCGCGCGTGTCATCAGGATAACATATGGTCGAAACCTACTTGCTAATAAAAGTGGCAAATATTCCTCCGTCGCGCGCTGATGCCTGTTGGTTCACCCACCAGTTGGCCATTTAGGCGACCGGATATTACAAATCCGATCCCATGTGGTGCTGAGGTGGCGTTACCCACCCAGTAAAACGTATAGTCAGCACCAGCTTCATGGAACTTACCTTGCTCAGCGAGCCGGGTCTCATTGAGCCCCATAATATCGATGTAGCGCGCCAGTCCCATCGCGACCAGTGCAGTGCCTCGCTCGGGGCGCTCACTCGAGTTCCGGTCCAGTAGTGTGCGCACGTTCCAGCACCCGATGCTGAGTGCTTTGCGCACAGGCATACGATTGCATTGGTGGGCAATCGCACGCGTGGTGGTAGTTATGCTTCGGAGGCTTGCTTGAGGGACTCCACCCGGAAC